TTCCCTTGAGCCTGGAGAAATAAATCCAACTCCTCTCTCAATTGAAAAACTCTGTTGAGTACATTCCCTGCTGACAACCACCATACAGAAGTCTAGAACAGCAACACATCAAAGTCGGAACCCATGTCCAGGCAAAATCTTTTGAACAGCCCGGTGTTCAGAGCCAATGATTTGATGTGATTCACCACTTTCACCAACCCTTTGAAAACGGCGTTCAGTTGATCAGGCAATGTTTTTTATGCCAAAGCTTCCCTATGAATGAAGCAATGAACTCCGGTTACCATAGGCGCGCGCTGTTTCACCAGAGTTTGGAAGCCTGATCTTGAGCCCAGCATGGCAGGTGCACCATCAGTGTGACACCCACAAGATTTACCCAATCCAGACCATGTGCTTCAAAGACATTGTTAACCATTTCCATCACAACCTGAGCCTTTGTGGTGGTACCAAGAATCTTACAAAAAAAAAAACTCGTCTTTGAAGTCAACCATGTATCGTGTGAACACCAATAGCTGAGAGCACAATGAGAGCTTATTCCGCAGCTAATTAGCATGCAGCGGTTTCTTGGCGGTAGACACAGACTCAGGGCCTGCTTACAATTTATGGAGTCCCACGCAACTGAACTTCTGTGAGCTGCACTGGGACTTCCCTCCATGCCCCCACCCGTGCAGCTTCTACCAGATCTTGGGGGTTTCCCTGGGGCTGGAGCGGAGCCGCTGGGGATGAGAGCTCCTCTCCACTCCCAGGCTAACAGGAGGAAGCCCTCAGTTAGTGGCTGGCAGAGAAGGGGCCAGGAGAAGCCCTGGCAAGTGAGAGCAACCGGGGGAGGGCCGGAGAGGACCAGGCAGCAGAGGTGACAGGGCCGTACTTAGGCATACAAGGACACACAGCTGTGATGGGGCTCCAGAAAATGCGGGGCACTCAATTTTCAGGAGCCCCTATGCAGTCACATATTTTGCATATGCCATGGGATGACCCTGCACAGACCATGCAGATGAGGGATCAGGCGACCACACGGCCTTCCAGCCTCTGGTCCACCCTAAAATGATCAGCCCCTCGGGTGGCTGTGAGCATCTCCAGCAGGGTGCTTGCAGTCGGGAGTTCTCTTAGCCCTCAGCATGGTGTACGGCGGGCAGAGACGCTACAGAGCGCGTGATCAGAACTGGGCCCGCTCTGTGATGTGGAGGCGCAGTCAGCAGTGGGTGTGGGAGGACATCCTGCTCAGCTCGCGGGATGGGTGAGTGATGGCATTTCTTCCTTCAATCCGCAGCGCCCCTCCGCCGTGGAAATGTCTGAAATCTGCGAGAAGAACAACCGCAACGTGGCCCACGGACTAGCCTGGTCTTACTACGTGGGCTACTTAAAGTTTGTTCTGCCGCGTAAGTGACCGTTCCCCTGTTGACCTGGGAATACAAAATATTCCGTAATAAAACTCCTCCTTTGCTCACATTAAGGGAGAGCCAAGTAGCAAGTCACAAAGCTGCCACCCTCAAATCATTCCTCTCTGCTCCATGTTCTGTTCCTTGAAGGCCTCAAAGACTTGATCAGCGAGTTCAACCGAGACAATAAGAATTTGCTGGCATGCAAAGAGACCTGGAAATTGCACATCCTGCTCCCACTGAGCTGCGAGATCTACAATGACCTGGAGAAGGCGGACAGCCACATCCAGTACTGTAAAGACCTCCCGGAGCTGGTGCTGGACCGGGCTGGCACTAAGCGGAGAGTCTACAAACAGAGCATCTATGGAGTTATGGGAGAAGACAAAAAGGTACGTTTCTCGCCACGCGTCTCTAGCGGGAGAGCCACAAGGAGGACGATGTGAGCTGAGATGGGCCTGGGAGACACAGTTTAGCTGTGGATCCAAACTCCCCGAAGGGTTGGGAAATTCAGGTGCAGGATTTTGGTTTGGGCCCATCTCTGGCCAGAAGACGTGGCTAGTGTAAAAGTGGCCGTGCTCCCAGACGGTGACATGTTCCCTGTGAGCTGTGCACTTGGGCAGCCTCTCAGGAGTGATTCCAATGCTGCCGAGCTGATTAGCGGAGCGCCCACTGCTAGGTTGGTTTCTACTGGTGGTGCACATTCGCACATGCCCCAAAATTATTCCTCACATTGATGGAAAAGATTAGCAGGAACGTTGTTGGAGACCCTCCAACGGGCTAGTTCAGGACAGCATCCAGCAGTTGGGATGGATAGAAGCACATGCCTCTGCATAGCCCTGGGATTTACACCAGGCCCCTCCTTGGAGCTCGGCAGGAAAATCCCACTTTACTTAGCTGGATGTAAACCCTCTGTGCAGCAGTAAACCCAGCTACAGCCAGGAGCAGACTGACCTTGTTGTACTGGCAGCAACAGTCATGGGCTTATACCCCCTGCAGCAGGATACGGCATCCCTCTCCCAGCTTCTCCCCCCCCAAATCAGTACACACTCTGCCCATCTGATCACTGTCCCTGATTCCCTCTCCCTGTTCTAATCTGCCTCCGGCTGTGCAACGTACAGGCAGAGTGAATTTTGTAACGTGGTACTACACCACTGTGGGTTCAGCTCTGGCAGCTACAGTCTGAGATGGAATTAAGGGGAAGTCACCTCTGCTACTTTCTTTAGAGTTAGAGTCTCTCGGCACACATCAAGACCAAGCGTACTGGCAAGGCCAGATTAAGCAGGGGGCTAGCTGGGCAGCTGCCCGGGGCAGCCACCTATGGGGGGGCACCTGATTGAAGTGGTAAGGGGGGCCGCATCAGGTGCGCATGCCTGGGAGCGCAGCGCCCCGTACCCGTCAATCAGGTGCCGCGCGCCCGCTGCCCAGGGTGCAAGAATGGCTCGGGCCGGCCCTGCGTACAGGCGACCTCTCTAGTCTGGCAACATCCCGTCTGGCAGGACTGAGTGAGCTGCATGTCCACTGAGCTTGGGTGTGGCTAAGTTTCCCGGGGTCCCATAAAGTCTGTTTACAGCTGCCAGTCCTGGCTCTCAGCGTTCTGTGCTAATTTCCCCCTAAAAATAATCTAAAGGTCTAGAGAACATGAGCTGTGAGGGAAGCCTGACAAAATTGGGCTTGTTTAGTTTGGAAAGGAGAAGACCAGGAGGGGACATGAGAGCCGTTTTAAAGTACCTAAAAGGGTGTTACAAGGAGGAGGGAGAAAAACTGTTCTCCTTGGCCTCTGAGGATAGGACAAGAAGCAATGGGCTTAAACTGCAGCAAGGGAGGTTCAGGTTGGACGTTAGGAAAAAGTTCCTCACTCTCAGGGTGGTTAAACACTGGGATAAGTTGCCCAGGGAGGTTGTGGAATCCCCATCTCTGGAGATATTTCAGAGCAGGTTGGACAGACACCTGTCCGGGATGGTCTAGACGGTGCGTGGGCCTGCCGTGAGGGCAGGGGACTGGACTCGATGACTCTCGAGGTCCCTTCCAGTTCTAGTGTTCTAGGATTCTAAGCACCCAGCGAGCAGGGGCAGTGCTGGTAATGCTGCTGGACAGTACTGTCCTCCTGTGGGCCGGCAAATTCTCTGCCTCAGCATCGGTCAGGTCCCCAGGGTGCCGGTCTAGAGAGGTTCGACCTGTGTTGGCCAACAGACATTCACAAGCTCAAGGTCGCATCTTATGTACAAGTTTGATTCCAGGGTTGCAGTGAGGGTTCTGAGTACCCAAGCCTACAGAAATTGAATCCAGACCTGTGCACAGGTTGCAATTAATACTCACATCCCTAACAGCAGTGCTAGGGTCTGATGGGCTGGGTCATCAGGAGAGGGTTGGCTTCTGCTGGTGTCTCTCTGAGGGAATTCAGTTTTCTTGTTCTTGGGCAACCCCTTGTATAATGTGATTCTGCCTGTACCTACAATCTGCACATGTCCATAAACGTGTCAACCTGCTTTTCTTTATTGGTCTGGGTTCCCTGGAAACTTAAGGGACCCTGATTTTCTTCAGACCGTGTGAGTTCTCTTTATTCTTGCTAGCTCCGATACACAACCTCAGTCCCGTGGTTATGTCTGAGAGAGTACGTTTATGAGCTAGTATTAGTCTTCTGGGTCATTCGATGCAATATTGATGCCTCTTGTCCCGTAATCCTTGGGCATTAGGTTATTTCTCGGTCCCTTGTGTTATCATCGCTTGTGTCCAAGGCCCAAAAGAGCTAAGCTAAACCCTTGCTGACCTCAACCTACAGGTTCTTGTGTTTCAGCTTGTCTCACTTACGTCTAACGCTTAGGCTACGTCTACACTGGCCCCTTTTCCGAAAGGGGCATGTTAATTTCAGAGGTCGTAATAGGGAAATCCGCGGGGGATTTAAATATCCCCCGCGGTGTTTAAATAAAAATGTCCGCCTCTTTTTTCCGGCTTTTAGAAAAGCCGGAAAAGAGCGTCTACACTGGCCCCGATCCTCTGGAAAAAGCGCCCTTTTCCGGAGGATCTTATTCCTACTTTTTCCGGAGGATCGGGGCCAGTGTAGATGCTCTTTTCCGGCTTTTCTAAAAGCCGGAAAAAAGTGGCGGACATTTTTATTTAAACGCCGCGGGGGATATTTAAATCCCCCGCGGATTTCCCTATTACGACCTCTGAAATTAACATGCCCCTTCCGGAAAAGGGGCCAATGTAGACGAGCCCTTAGTTCCTCTAAAAACTGATCAAGCGTACACTGGTATATGGTGTTCCCTGTAAGCTGTGTGCTTGTGCAGCCACCCAGGAAAGAGACACATGCCGCCCGGCTGATTATCAGAGCACCCACAGCTAGGTTTGTGTTTCTACTGATGGTGCACATTCACACATGCCTGGGTGCACACACAAAAATTTATTCTGCACACAGATGGACAAAATTTGCATATAGCTGGAAAAGATTAGAGGAAACATTGCTTGTGTAACCCTATGAATTGACTGTAGCACACAGCGAGTACCTGTGATGCAGCAGATGGGTTAATAACATCCCGTGCCCATGGCTTTGGCGACCAGCCCACCCCGTGCTCAGGAGCAGGCAGAGGAAGCAGCTGTGGGGAGTCTGCTGGGTTCACACAAGGCCCCCACAAGCCTTGCTCTGGCAGCACTGTGCAGAGAAGGGGCCCACAGGGTCTGGGATTCCCAGGGAGGGAAGGAGGGAGGAGGGGGCCGCTTTGCCGTGGTCTTGGTCCGGCTGGGGTAAAGCCTGCACGTCTCCCTCTCCCGCCCCGCCAGCTGAGTTACTGCGTTGTGGAGTACGCCACCCCGCTGCAGTCCCTCTACGCCATGTCCCAGGACGAAAGCGCCGCCTTCAGCCGGCAGGACCGCCTGGAGCAAGCCCAGCTCTTCTGCAGGACCTTGGAGGAGATCTTACAGAGCTCCAAGGAGTGCGCGGGCTGCTACCGCCTCGTTGTGTATGAGGGTGAGGCATGGGGGGGTCTCACGGGGAGGAGACACCCTGGGGTCCTCTCCATGCCCTGATCCTTGGGGGCCGGAGCTCACCGTGGCCTCAGGCGCATGCCCAGCCCTGCAGCTCGTGTCAGAGCCGTCCCGTCATCTCACAGGTGCTCCCTGCTGTTTACGCGGGGGGCCCCGCGTCCAACTTTCGACAGAACACCAGGTCGAAAGGGGACCCTGGGGCCACGCCCATTTGCACTTTCTCTTTCACGTTTCTCTGCCGGGGAAGGTATTACACGTGTGCGAGGAGATTTTTTTCCCCACTGCCTCTCTTTTTTACACGTGTTCTCCCATTTTCCACAGGGGAGGAGAACTTAAAATGGGGCAGGAGGGTTCCCACCCGAAGGAAAATGCTCAACCTGTCTTTGAGAAATTCGTCAGTAAATGAACAATTTCCGCCCGTTGCGGTGGGGAGGGACAGCTGTGAGAAATTTTTCCTTTCAGTCCAAGGTTGTTTTCTTTCCCCTCCCGTCCCCCGAATGTTGGGCTGGAGAAAGCATCAGGCAGGTCGACATTTCACCCCTTCTTTTAGACGCCAGCCAGCTGGTCCCACGTCACGTGGCTGGCTGAGTTGGCGGACGCCAGGAGCCAAGCGGCGATCCTTACAACACCCCCACATCCGCTGTGTGAGGCGAAAAGCCCACCTCCCCTCGCCCATCCCGGGGCCGGCTCCCTGCCTCCGCCTGTGTCCCAGCCACGCCAGCGGGCCTCACCGAATGGGCGTGGGATGCCAGCGCAGCAACGGTTCCTCGTCTTGCCGAAGGGCTTGGGGACTTCGCTTGCTGGGGGCTCGGCTCTCCTTGGATTCCAGCCCATGGCAGCTGGTCGGGTTTTTTTCCCGATTTGTTTTCCAAAGCAGCTGTGGGGAGTCTGCTGGGTGAGCTTGTCTGGGGGGATTCACACAAGGCCCCCACAAGCCTTGCTCTGGCAGCACTGTGCAGAGAAGGGGCCCACAGGGTCTGGGATTCCCAGGGAGGGAAGGAGGGAGGAGGGGGCCGCTTTGCCGTGGTCTTGGTCCGGCTGGGGTAAAGCCTGCACGTCTCCCTCTCCCGCCCCGCCAGCTGAGTTACTGCGTTGTGGAGTACGCCACCCCGCTGCAGTCCCTCTACGCCATGTCCCAGGACGAAAGCGCCGCCTTCAGCCGGCAGGACCGCCTGGAGCAAGCCCAGCTCTTCTGCAGGACCTTGGAGGAGATCTTACAGAGCTCCAAGGAGTGCGCGGGCTGCTACCGCCTCGTTGTGTATGAGGGTGAGGCATGGGGGGGTCTCACGGGGAGGAGACACCCTGGGGTCCTCTCCATGCCCTGATCCTTGGGGGCCGGAGCTCACCGTGGCCTCAGGCGCATGCCCAGCCCTGCAGCTCGTGTCAGAGCCGTCCCGTCATCTCACAGGTGCTCCCTGCTGTTTACGCGGGGGGCCCCGCGTCCAACTTTCGACAGAACACCAGGTCGAAAGGGGACCCTGGGGCCACGCCCATTTGCACTTTCTCTTTCACGTTTCTCTGCCGGGGAAGGTATTACACGTGTGCGAGGAGATTTTTTTCCCCACTGCCTCTCTTTTTTACACGTGTTCTCCCATTTTCCACAGGGGAGGAGAACTTAAAATGGGGCAGGAGGGTTCCCACCCGAAGGAAAATGCTCAACCTGTCTTTGAGAAATTCGTCAGTAAATGAACAATTTCCGCCCGTTGCGGTGGGGAGGGACAGCTGTGAGAAATTTTTCCTTTCAGTCCAAGGTTGTTTTCTTTCCCCTCCCGTCCCCCGAATGTTGGGCTGGAGAAAGCATCAGGCAGGTCGACATTTCACCCCTTCTTTTAGACGCCAGCCAGCTGGTCCCACGTCACGTGGCTGGCTGAGTTGGCGGACGCCAGGAGCCAAGCGGCGATCCTTACAACACCCCCACATCCGCTGTGTGAGGCGAAAAGCCCACCTCCCCTCGCCCCTCCTGGCGCCGGCTCCCTGCCTCCGCCTGTGTCCCAGCCACGCCAGCGGGCCTCACCGAATGGGCGTGGGATGCCAGCGCAGCAACGGTTCCTCGTCTTGCCGAAGGGCTTGGGGACTTCGCTTGCTGGGGGCTCGGCTCTCCTTGGTCGGGTTTGTTTCCCGATTTGTTTTCCAGACTCGGGAGACAGCAACAGCCATTTCCTGTCGAAGGAGCTCCTCCGGCACATCCGGCAGCAGCACCTGGAGGAATACGCCATGTGCAATGGGAGCCACCAGCCCGCCACGTTCCTCTCAGAAGAACCCGTCATCATGATCAGCAACTCGGAGCTACCTGGGCCTCTGCGGAGCGACGGCTTCTGAGCCATGCGGCAGGACTGGCAGGTTCCTCCCTCTGCCCGCTGCAAGGAAAACACCGAGACAGGGCGACATCCTGGCTTCATTCCTCCCTCCCTGGTACGAGCCTCTCTCCTCAGGCTTGTAACTGGGGTTTTGTTTTGAGAATAAAAGTTCTTTCTTTTTGTTATTAACCTGGTATTGGTTCATTTCTGTGCCCTGGAAAGTCTGTCTGTGGGTATCTGCATGCCTCTGACTAGGGGGCAGCTACCACAGCCTGCAGCTGGTATTTTCTCTTTTCTTTTTCAAGCTCTTTAGGGAAAGGAGCTTGAGGTGTCCCTGAGGTTTTTAAGAGAGGAGACTTCCCCGGTGATCTCTTCCCTGGGTTTTCTTGGAATACTTGGGTGGTGGCAGCGGTTTATATTCTCCAAAGGCCGGGTGTTAGGATTTCGGGGGGAGTTTTTGTACCAAAGCCTGGAGAGATCGGGTTTTGGGGTGCTTTTGTGGGCTCCCACTTCTGCATTCATCATGCCAGAGTGGGGAATAGCCTTGACACAGCTGATGCCCCGGGCGTCATCGTTAACCATTTCACTGCCGACCCCAGTGTGTCAGCACGGAGTGGGAGGGGGCCGTCCTGTCGGGGCTGCAGCTGGGCCAAGTGGGGGAGATGTGGTTGCTTCGTTCCTTTTCCCCGCTGCCCCCATGCAGCCAAACAGCCCAAAGGGGGGATGTGATGGGGCGCTTGCCCTGCACTGGCCCTTTAAGGACAAACCCCAGCCCTGAGTGAGGGCTGAGAGTGAAGCCCCAGCTGAGACAGCTCTGCTGATGAGGGCCCAGCTGGGGGTGAACTAAAGAAGGGATCCTGGAGGGATCCGGAGAGAGAGCAGTAGGGACCTGACTGCCAGGGAAGCAGAGCAAGGCTGGGGAAGCTCTGGCCAAGCAAACTCCCAGGCTGCAGGGCCTGAGGCTACTAGGGCTGCAGAGAGGCAGCGGATCCGCACCCCCTGCCGATGCTGAGGGGCCGTGCCAGGCTGCAGTTTGCCCCAGAGGCAGGGCTAGGGGAAGACAGGCCGTGGGTCACTGAGCCAAGGTGGGTGCAGGGAAACTGGGGGCTCTTGGAAGGGGAGGACCATGGAGAGCAACGCTGGATAAACACCCCTTCCTCCCCGCCCCCCGGCAGGGGGCTCAGACACTGGAGTGGCCCTGCCGGAGGGCCGTGTGCTGGAGAGGACGCCGTGGCCCAAGAACGGCGCGGTCAGGACTGGAGGGAGCAGCGAGACCACGGGGAGACGCCGAGCTGATTCCCAGGGCTACCTCGGTGAGTCTGCCCCGTGACAGGGGGCACAGCCCGGGGCCACCTGAGTCCCACCAGGGCTGAGTCCCGCAAGCGTCGGAGCCCACGGAGCGGCCGACAGAGCCAGCGGGCAGGAGGGGGAAGCCCGTAGCCTTGCAAGCCGGAGGGGCGAGGAAGCGGCTGGGGGGGCCGTGGCTCTCCCCCAAGTCCTTTCCTCCCCTTCTCTTCCCCACTTGGGCCCAGTTCCCCTGGGCTGACTTGCAGGCTGGATCCTTCCCCATCCAGAGAAGTGCTGGGCCCAGCAACGTCCCCCCCCCCCCCCGC